ATATGCTGATCACTGTACCGTTTTGTTATTAATGTATCTATACAGAACTGATAAAGTGTATCTTCTGTTGAAAATTCGCTTTTCAAATAAAATATGTATTATTGAACTGTTTTCTTAACAGTTTTTGTTCAGTTACAGCTTCGTTTTAGAATACAGCGCTGTAGAGTACACAGGTATTCAGGTGTGTGTAGATTCATTTACTAAGTATTTAAGTGTACTCTTTCTTAATATCCTGTGCTTATTCTTTATTGAAAGAGTATCGATCATTCTTCACAACTTGCAGGTGTAAATTCTACAAAAAATGCAGATTCGTTTTATTTCTTTTACATTTTAGGCAATATGTTTTACCGTAGCTGGGCCACTTAAAACAGTTATTCGCTTTATTATTTAATAACTTTCATGGCATTATTTTCGAGCATCCGCAGACTCCACAATATACTTGATTTCGTTGTCCACTTGTATTAGAGGAGTTTAACATATCGTTTACTCTCGACAGTATTATAAACATTCGCCTGTTCTGTGGTTGTATTACATTAAAACTAGTGGAAGGAAGATCGGAACACCGTCTAAAGCTCTGAGGTAGTTCATATCATAATGAATTGAAACTCTGACTTTTCAGCATGCTTATTCTGAAGGAAAAACTCACTTTTCTCGCATATCGTGTAGAATTTAATTTTTTTAGTTTGGGTCAGTTTTGGATTAGTCTAAGGTTAAAATTTTAACAAATTGGGACTGTGATTGACATATATAAATTAGGAACAAGTAATAGGTTTATTCCCTGCTGAAAAGAAAAGAGAGAAAACACAACGTTTCGGCTGTGAACCCTTCTTCAGGTGTGAGGTGTGAATTTATCATATATAAATTAGAGCCCTTTGGATGTTAATTATTTTAACAAAGACAATCTTTAAGACACCCAAGTTAATTTATATTTCTAAGCAAGGGGTTTTAAAAGCTATGTATTTGAGTCTGGAAATGTAGATAGTCTCAGAGTTACTAAGTTTATGTATTTATTTGTTTTATATATACATATAAAAATACTACTACAGACTAAAACGAGTCTGAGCGGTTAACACGGTTTCCTCCAATACCGGTGGTCGTCAAACTCTTTGCTAATTAGCAATGCTGAGAAATTCCAGTTAACAAGAACATTCTCCAAGAGACTGCAGGTTCCCCGCCGCTCTCCTTCATTTCCATAAGAAGATTAGGAGTGGAGAGAATACACTCAAATGCAGATGCAGAAAAGAAGCGTTTTTAACAAGCATCATAATAGTCAGATGCTTGGCTAGTTCTCACCCAATTATCCAGAAGTTAAACCTGTTTTTAAATCTAAATACAAAATTCTTCTTACAAATTTACATTATACAGGCGTATATGCAAAGATAACATTTTAAAATGGAAAAAAATATGTTGGATTTTTTTTTCTCCAAAAGGCTATTACTGTGGACTAATTATTAAGTAGAATTCGGTAGTTTTTTAAAAAAAAAATAAGATAAAGATTTAGTCTGAGTGAGCTAATGGTGTTCCAGATGGCTCCCTTATTAACATCAACACAACATTAGCGCCACAGACAGCTCGCGAGTTTATTCCACTGCAGGCGCGCGGGAGACCAGGCCAGTCCTCCACCGAGAGACGCGCGCGGTAATTCAATTTACTTGCACCTCAACGCTGCCGTCAATTAAAGCATTATTTTTATGAACTGCCCTCGCCTTTCACGGAAAGATAGATTATACATATTATGTAAACAGTGACAAAATACTACTGGATTTATTGCATGGTGTAATTTATATTTATCGTGCGTTATTTAAGGCAATTTGTAATATTTATGAAAGAGTCTATCCTTGTAACATTCTTAATTTCAGACTACACACTCGCTTAATCGTTAGTCTGCTAAAATCGCGAGAAAACATTTTGAGACCTAATGAAAATAATAACGATCGGGTTAATATCTCAAGATATTTACCAAGATGAGCAATATGGAGAACTTAAAGTATGCAAAATAAAGCGGTGATTATAAAATAATTGTGTGGTTAATAATTCAATCAGCACCACAATGTTTTTTTTTAACACATTTAACACATTTGTTAAAATGTATGTTACGATGTTAGAGATACATTATGTTGTTGCTGTTAATTTTGTCACAAAATCGTTGTCATTGTTTGGAAACCCAGTCGTGTATATTTCTGCCTACTACTGCTTTTTCCATAAGCGTTAATGCATCTCATACTACTGACAGCAATTAATAACAGTAATTAAATTATCTCGGTGAGCTTTCCGAAGCCTCACTGCTTTCTTCGCATTATATAGGAACGGCATACAAGAAAAGTTCGTACACTTATTCTTTCTAGTAAATTTATTTTTGAATGGTATTCGATTTCGATCTTCAAGAATACCTTAAATAAAATCATTGACAAGTTAATTGAAATTAGATCGGTGTGGTTTTCTGTTCGGCTTCTCGTTTATACTTTCGGTGCTTTACGCGGAACAGCCAGTAGACGGCGCTGGTGCTACGTACGAATGCGGAGTGGAGCCCTCGCCGTATTTGTTTTGGTTACAAATGCAGAGTATTTACAATGAGACTATTATTACTACTACGTGTACTATAAAAGAAACTATATAATTAACATTACACACCTACACATCTACATGTGTGTGTATATAGAATATATACCGTCTAAAACATAATATACTTATATAGAGTATAAAAAGTTCAGTGTAATTACTACAGATAAAAGTTGTATTAGTATTTGCAATGTTACCCAGCTGCACGACGATTATTTTCAGGATAATCTGCAGAGAAAACAACAGTGATAAGATGGACTTGGTTTGTGTGCAGTGAAGGTGAACTCGAGAGATCGCGTTTAATTTTCAAACAGTGCAGCTCCTCCAGCACAAACTGCAGGTTATGTTCAGATCCGACGCTGGCGGTGAAAGCGCTTGGAAAAGAGAAGCAGCATTAGTCTTTTCTTTTTATTTGTGGTCAAGTGCATTTTACCAACAAAGATCTCAACAACGGAGTGGAAGTAAACTTAGACGAGCTTTTGTTTGAGCCGATGTGGTGGCAACAACAGAAACAAAACTATCTATTTGTGATGGACGTGCTGCCATTTCTGTCGGCATTCAGGGGCGCTCTTTGAGCTCCTTCAATAGGGAACCATTTAAATGTACCTTTCTTTTAATTTCAGTGCCATCTGGGGAGAACATCTCGCAAAAATATTTTTGTTTAACTGAAACAAAACTAGTTACTGACATAAATTTAATCGGCAATAGTATTTTGAGAGGTTAAGAATCCTCACTAAAATGTAACTACACACAAATCTATTGTTTTTTTAATGTGCATCGTATTTTACTTTAAAGCGTGTCGTTTTTCGTTGCCTTTTGTTGTTTAAATTCCTGTCGTGATTATTATTTCCGCCTTGACAGAGTATTGGCCGGTGTGCTTTCTGTGTGCAGAATGACTTTCTGCATCAGTTTTCTGAAGTGAACCTGTTTGATGAAACACTTGGGGAGGCAGAGTCTGAAAGCCTTCTTCCAGAAGTCTGAAGAAGAGCGATACAAAGGAGCAAACATATTATAAAATGCAAAATAATTTGGTATAAAGTCTTTTATTTAAGAAACTCCATATTCTGCCTCTCTTTGTTTTTAGTTTTTAGTGTTTAGCTGTGAAAAAAACACAAGAATAACCCCCAAACCACGCTAGATTAATTCAAAGAGAAACCTCTCTGGCGTGTTCTACATGCGAGAAAATTCTTAGCCATTTACAGTAGTCAACTCCAGACTTACTGCATGGCATACGCTGCTTAAATTTAAGACAAGGCAGTATTTCAATAAAGTGGAGAATACAGCACTTTCAGTGTGGATGGCTTGTAAAATTTCTTCACTTGAACACTTGCTGAAATAATAAATGCTGTATACAGCTGCGATTGGCTGACTTAAACCAGCCCCAGCCTCGGCGCAGCACCGCTGACCGCTGGAAACCCCGCCCCTTTATGCTAATAAAAGACACAATCCTGGCCGAGGGAACAGTCGCTCTCTGATTGGTCAGGTAAAACCCATTTATTCCCTGACAGCCCCCATCACATGAATGGTTGTCTATTAACTTGTTCAAAAAGTATCAGGAGTTGTCAAGGCTGTGCTGAAGGGGGAAAAGTAGTTTGTTGATTCTTAAAGACCAAGAGAGAAGTTTGTGGACACAGCAGGACCTGCAGGGAGAGAGAGAGGGGGGAAAGTCGTTTTACTTTTTTCAGTAAAGTTACTGAAAGCAGCAAGGTAACAACAGCGAACTTCCTCCGTTTTGGACCCTTTTTTTTCCTTTGGTGAGGCAGGGTCACACAGAATCAGTTTGAATGTACAACATGATGGAAACCGAACTCAAGCCCCCCGCCCTCCAGGCCAATGCTGGGGGCACGGGGAACTCCAACTCTTCAGGAAACTCCCAGAAAAACAGCCCCGACCGAGTCAAGAGACCCATGAACGCCTTCATGGTGTGGTCGAGGGGGCAGCGGAGGAAAATGGCGCAGGAGAACCCTAAAATGCACAATTCGGAAATTAGCAAGAGACTCGGGGCCGAGTGGAAACTTTTATCGGAGAACGAGAAGCGACCCTTCATCGACGAAGCGAAGCGTCTCCGGGCTCTCCACATGAAGGAACATCCGGATTACAAATACCGACCGAGGCGGAAAACCAAGACTCTGATGAAGAAAGATAAATACACCCTACCGAGCGGGCTGCTTGCGCCCGGCGGCAACACTATGAGCTCCGGGGTGGGTGTAGGGGCTGGTTTGGGAGCCGCCGTCAATCAGAGGATGGACAGCTACGCTCATATGAATGGCTGGACTAACGGCGGCTACGGCATGATGCAGGAACAGCTGGGCTACCCGCAGCACCCTGGGCTAAATGCGCATAACACGGCACAGATGCAGCCCATGCACCGTTATGACATGAGCGCGCTTCAGTACAATTCCATGACCAGTTCACAGACCTACATGAACGGATCTCCCACGTATAGCATGTCCTACTCCCAGCAAAGCACCCCAGGAATGACGCTGGGCAGCATGGGTTCGGTGGTCAAGTCGGAGTCCAGCTCGAGTCCACCTGTAGTCACTTCGTCTTCTCATCCAAGGGCTCCTCCGTGTCAGACCGGAGACCTCCGGGACATGATCAGTATGTATTTACCAGGTGCTGAAGTACCAGAACCAACTGCCCAAAGCAGACTTCATATGTCTCAACACTACCAGAGCGCACCTGTACCCGGTACAGCTATTAATGGCACACTTCCACTGTCACACATGTAAATTAACTTTTGTTATAGAAACTGGACTTCTCTGGACTATTTTTGTACAGAACATTTTGGGGAGGGAAAGAAGTTGTATAGCGCTCAAGGAAAGAACACAAAACTTTTTTTTTCTTTTTCTTTTTTTAAAGAAAAAAATATAGTGGAACGGTAGGACCTTTGCGAAGTTTTGCAAAAGTGTTTACCAGTTAAATAAGAATAGAACGAGCTAGTCTCAATCGATTAAATGTTTTATTATTCCAAGCAACTTTTGTACAGTATTTATCAAAGAAACATAGCAATCAAAATGTCTAATGTTTGTAAACTATAAGAAGTTGCCAATTTTATAAACAGCGGTTGTGAAAAAGACAACGACGAGTTCCATTGGGTTCTAAGTAAAAGAACAGAAGTTATATTAAACGATAAAGTTTCTCCTTGGAGGTGAAATAGACTGTACTAAACCGTTTTACTTTGGTTAAAAAATCTTTATCTCACAGGTTAAAAAATACTTGTTAATTTATATATTTTGTTTCCCACTTTTCATCTGTTAGAAAACACGAAGTTTGTGTTCATTATTTTCTCATGGTTTGTAATATTTCTGTAAATTTTATTGTGATATTTTAAGTTTTTATTTTAAATTTACATTTCCGTAGTTGTATTTTGAAATTCGGGTCTGTATTTTGAACCAGTCGCCGATACTCCATGTATATATTTGAACTAATAACATCCTTATAACAGTTTCCACTTCAGCTTAAGTTTTTTTTTTCATTATGCAGAGTTTGAATGAATAAATTTTTGAAATTTGGATACTTGAATATTGTTCGAGTTTTGATTTTATTTATCGTTTTCAGTTCTAAGGTTATAACGTCCTTTCACTGTTAAAAAAACACAGAATGAAAATATTTTTTAAAAATCCTGAATAAGATAAACATGTTATTGTTATTTGTTCTGTAACGATTTTAGAGTCACCTTATTTAACATTGTTACCTAAATATCACGCTGAATGCCTCTTCTGAAGTTGTTGTCACCTGTTGCTCAGATCCTTTATAATGTTTTTTTTATTACTATCATTACTATAAACATGGGTGCTACAATTGCCAATATTAACCTGTTTGCTCGGGGAGTCCATACATAACCTTTCTGTTAGATTTAAGGACACTGTAGGGCGAGAAACCGAACAGAACTGCAGTCATTCAAGAGGACGTGTGAATTTCTTAACCGTGTTAACCACTTTGATATGGTTGTTCATAAAGTAATAATTATAATGTACACTTTCAACAGATTCAATACAATAGGTTACTAGTGTTGCTGGCACTGTTGTTATGTAAACCGAGACTTAAGTTAACAGCGTTTTTATTTTTTAGTGGAAACAAGCTTCACGTCTCAGGATGTGAGAAGAAGCGCCACTCAAAAGTTTGTTCCCTCTAACCCTTTGGTAGAGCTGTCTGTCTCAATGGACAAGATAAAAACGCCCAATAAGTTGAAGATTCGCATAAAGGTAGCTTTTCATTTTACTTTTCTTCATATTACTGTCATCTCGCTGTAAGTGGTGTGGTGTATATTTTAAAAGCAAAATATAATCATCTACGTTCAATTATTATTTTTAGATTTTAAAGTATTTGCTGCTGTAACCGCTTGTTTTCCGAACAGGTTATCGGAATGTTTTCTGGAAGCTGTAGAATTACATTTTTAAAGCAATGCATTTCTTTAGAGTATACCCTCATCAGTGTTGCATACAGTATGACGTTAAGCTGCTTCAGAGACTTTGGCAGAGCTTGAATTTGTCGGTATTCATTTTTTGAAGAAGAAGCACATATTGCAGTAGTTACTTCAAAGCTGCTATACCTATATATAATACAGAATAAAACTTATACATATCATATAAATCGTTATATGAATATATGTCATATACATGATTAAATAAGCCAATGTAAATAATAAATTATCTTGATTTTCCCAAAATGTATTAAACGAGAATGGCGCTTTTTTTCATCTAACATCTTATTATAATGCGTCTTTTCACATTATACGTAATCATTTTAGGAGTAAATACGGAACTGTATTAGTGTACGTATTTTTCAAATTTATTTGTCACATTGTCGAACGTGTATTTGTTGTTTAAAAAATCTTATTGGCGCAAAATAACGCAATGTTGAAATATTTTCCTGAGGCCCCTACATTGACTGTAGGCGGGCAGCAGCAAGGAAACGAGTATTTGTAACGTTTCGCAAATTAACTTTAACACTGTTGTTGGGATTCGGAATTTACCAGCGAGCATATGAAATTAAGTAATGTAAAATATACGTAGCGAGAACTGCAGAAATGCTTACTGGAAGTAGGCCGTGTTTATTTTTATGCTTTGTGGCGTAAGGTCTGGTTATAAAGAAAGAGAAAAAGAAAAGTAGCTTGTGTACCTCTCCACAATAATTGTTCGTTTCTCTTAAGGTTAGGCCTGTGTGTAACATGATACAAAGACTGGAAATTGTTTTCTATTTACTATTTAATTAAAAGGCGAAAACCTTTATTGCTGAGTTTGTTTAAGTCTAATTCAAAAGCTTTTCTTGCATGATGATAGAAGAGAAAGTTTAATGTCAGTCCGTCTTGTGCTGTGTTTAAAACTGAGCTCTTGAATAAGATTATGGTATCCCTTGTGAATTTAAGAGCGTTTTAAATCTGAGGGGTGTTAAAATATTTTGCTGAACTGCAGAGGCAGATTAACACAGTTGCTTGCCAAGGCTGGGAAGCTTCTATTACACGTCGTCTCGGGGGAGAAGAGCTCACATTAAGCGCTAAATGAATATTTGACGAGGGCTCATTCCGAAGTATTATTACTACAAACGTGTCCCTACTGGACTTTCAAAGGGTCAAGGAGCAGTGGTTCAATTAATTATTTATACAACCAGTGGAATTGATTGTAATAGGTGAACATGTTTGATAAACTGGGAATTTTAAACGGTGAATCCGGATGAACTATTTTATAACACACCAAGGCTGAGACTTTGCTTGTACAAGTGGTCGGTATTGGTTCGCTCAATTACACGCACAGGTGAAGAAATTAAACAAAATCGTAGTAGAAATCAAATACGTTTCTGGAGAAAATAAATGTGTCCTTAATTGGGAACACGTTCACTGCCGGTTAAGATTAAGTGACAGTATTTAAATGATTAGTGATAAGCCATAAGGGCATGAACTAATAATTGCATTACTGAATTGATTCGACTTGAAGGACTTTTGTGTTGGGACTCCATTGAGGTTTTGGAACTGACAGTTTCTTCGCATAAAAAAAACGATCAAACGCCTCGGGGGGACAAGGAACACCGCTTAACTGCATAGTGACGGGATTCTCATTTAGAACCATTACAAGAAGAAAATTAAACAAAGCTTTTGTGTTAGCGAGGTGTGCTTTCAATTGCGGGAGTTTGTACTAAGAGCTCTCTCAAGTGCGCTGATCCAAATTCTGATTGTGACAAGGAGGTTGGTAACTGTGTTTCAGTTGCAGATGTTATTTGTGTTTTTATTATATAATATATATATATATTATATTTGAATTCCGTAAGAGGCGAGGAGAAAGCCTGGATATGCCGCGATTATTCAGAACACGATTCTTCTTCTCTTTTTTCCCAATTTGTCAGGTCAGCCACTATTATTTTCTTTAAAATGGTTAAGAATAAGATACGTTTAGTTCAAACCAGGTTTGCCCAGAATAGGAATGCGCTAAAATCTACAATGATTCTGTTACAACAGGTGGTAAGCGCTACTTTCTAAAAGCGGTTTTCATTATAAAAACCAAGATAATTTCCTGTTTAGTAATATTTCTCTATATCATACTCGTTTAGATTTCTGTGCAAGTAAATATAGTTTCACATTATAACTCTTGTCTGCATCAGCAACGCCTTTATCCAAACTTACCTAATTTTGAGAGTTAATGAAGTTATGTCAGTCGCATACATCAGTCCAAAACGAGTGAGATTTGTTCTCAATAAATACATTTTGTCGATTTCACTGACGTTTTAAGTCGCTTCAAGTTATGGTTTTTTACTTTTATTTTTATTTGAGAATTAACAACAAATATTTACAAGTTGTTCAATGCTTTCCATTATTGGTTCAAACTATGAATGATATTACTGTGGACTTCCAGGCTGAGAGGGAGTGCCAAAGACATTAACTTAAAACAAAAACTCGTCTCCCCCTTTGTTGTATAAAAACTTTTTCTTTCTATTTCTGCTACTTCAGTAACTCGACCAGCATTCAATCTATCTTGCCCCGAATGTATTTTTGTTAGTCAAATAAATGTTTTTCAACTCCACCACATAATTTTAAAACATTTTGTTATTTTTGTTTTAGATAGATACTTTATTGATCCCGTGAGGGAAATTACAGACCAAATAACTATAACTTTTAACAAAGAACTTGTTTTCCTAAGTATGAGATCCCTCAAACTCGACTTCAGTGTTGCTGATACTTGTAGGGTGTGTTGTTTTATAAGTCCCAATTCTTGGGAATGGGAAATAATTAATTTATTAAGCAAGAGACAAACTTCTCAAGAGGACCTCATCAAGTCCACGCAGATTTACTGTATTCCGCCATTATGCTAATATAGAGCCGTGACGTCACCGACAATCGATTTACCGAGACATTTTATGAGATGGGAATTTCTCCTGTAATACAGAAAAGGCCGATATTCGTTTTCTAATACACAATTATTGAAATCTCAGTGTCCTACAAACACCGTGCTTAGACAAACACAGCAAAGAGAAATAACAGTAAAAGCTAAAATGTGGTCATTGTTCAAGTCTGAGGAGGAAAAAAAGGAACGTGGTGTTATCGTAATTCTTAAATTTAAAATGTTCTATTACTATAATTATCGTAAAAAGATTATGGAATTGCTAACCTAGACGCGAACTGCGAAATTTATTTTTTAATCGCTCCACAATCGTAAACATTTTGCTTTAGCTCTCCTCTAAAAGTATTTTGCGCGACAATAATGTTGATTTTCTTGCCATCAGAGAAAATAAATGATCTTTTGCTTATCCACAGTATTTACTTATCTACTAATCACAGTCACGTACTATCTCACATGTTGATGTTTTACAGTTTGTATAGGTGTATTGATATATAATGTAAGCAATAACTTTTTAAATTACATTTATTTCCAGATAAAATCTGGAAAGATAAAATTTTGTGACTATGAAGTGTCTTCTTAATCGAAACTCAAAACGCATTCGCTGTAAAATAAAGCAATGCCATTTACAAAAATAACACATAACATCGCAGGGGGAAAAATAGTTTGAGTCTGTCTTTGCCTTTTTTTTAGTCCGAGCATTGTGAGTTGGGGTGAATTGAGAACTGTCAGAGATGTCGTCTGTTTTAACAGTCTCTCGCGGAGTGAATGGCCGTCCTTCCCTGATCCCGTGCAGGTGCAGTGAGGCGGGGGATGGGGGTCTAGCAGCTCGGCCAAAATGCACATTCTGTTCAATAGACCACACACTGTCACCAGCACGACCGCGGCCCGAGCTCAGGGCAGGACTCGCAGAGCGCACGCAACTTCCCGGCTCTGACGGTTTCCCCTTGAAACCTCTTCATATGCGGCTTACACATTTTAGAATCCTATACTATCTCAATTGTAGGATATATCGTTTTCTTACATATCAGATATGGCTCTATTGCTGCAGAAATGTAACGTGCATTTAGTAACGTTTTCCGGTAATGATGAGGATGTTAACAATGTGTGTTGTTGCGTTGATAAATTTAGGATACATAATGAGAAATCGAGGAAGACACCGAAGAAGACACCAATTTAAATGTCTGGGGGAGG